AAAAAAAAAAGAGTAAAATCCAAAAAAAGAAAAGAAGAAGAAGAAGAAGAAGGGGAGGAGTGCCAACATTAATTGATAAAATAGATATCAAGGCAAAAAAATTCATGAGAGATGAAAAAGCACACTACCTAATAATAAAAGGAGAAATAGAAAAAGAAGACATAACCATATTAAAGATATACACTCCAAATAACATATACACTTCAAATAACATTAAATGAACTTTCACAGGGATGAAAATAAAATAGACAGCTTGGTAAAAATAGTAGGAGACTTCAATATATCACTATCATGAAAAGAGAGTGCATTAGGAAACAAACTCAATAAAGGATTAGTTAAATAAGGCAACACAATCAATCAACTGGGCTTCCTAGACATATCCAGACAATGCCGCCCAACAATAATATAGTAGACATTCTTCTACAGTGCACATGGAACAGTCTCCAGAAAAGACTACACATTGAGCCACAAGGTAAGTTTTAACACATTTTAAAACACTGAGCTTCTACAAACTGTTTTCTCAGACCACGGTCCTACAAAACTGGAAATCAACAATAGAAAGAACAAGCGGGGGAAAAAACCAATTGCATGGAAACTGAAGAACATGCTACTTAAAAATGACTGGGTAATAGATCAAATAAAGCATGTAGTTAAAAAAAATTCCTTGAAACAAACAAGAACTAGAATACAACATACCAAAACCTGTGGGACACAGCAAAAGAAGTTATCAAAAAGCAGTTTATGGCAATCAAAGCACATGTGAAAAAAGAGGAGAAAACCAAAATCATTGTCTTAAGACGGAATCTTCAACAACTAGAACAAGAGCAGCAAAATAAATCCTCATCAGGAGAAAAAAAGTCATAAAGATTGGAGCAGAAATGAATCAACTGGGGTTAGGATTTCAATGTATCTTAATGAGGGGATAAAATTCAATCTATACACAAGGGTGGAAGTGGGGGAGGGAGGGACAAAAAAGGAGCTGATACTAAGGGCTCAAATAGAAAGTAGATGTTTAGAAAATGATGATGACAACATATGTACAAATATGCTTGATACAACGGATGTATGGATTGATATAAGAACTGTAAAAGCCCCCGATAAAATGATCTTAAAAACATTCAACCAAAACAAGGCCTGTATGTGGTTGTATATGAGCCTTTATAAGGTTTTATAATAACTTAACTCACTTTTCATATTTATATACCTTTGGCCCTAAATTTGAATATGTAATAGAGCCTGTTTATTGCTGTAACATCTTCTATTTATTCAAATCAACAGGCAGTCACCACTTGAATTGCATACTCTCTACTTTATTTCTATTTCTAAGATGGAAGCAAACAATCCAACTCTATCATTGTCCTTTTCCATGTACCAGGTCAATCCTGCAAGCCTATCAGGATCTCGTATTTGACCATCAGGGTCTTTTTCTGGGAGTGAATGGCAGGATGCAGAATCATTTGTGCCTCGGTTCACCTAGACCCCGACCTGACCAGCTATAAAAAAGTGGATCTCTATAAATCTTCTGTTTATCTTTGACAGGTGAAGGACACGGCTCAGCAGATGGTGTTTACTGTCCGCCATGCCACCGTCACCTTTCAGACGGAAGGGGACACCTGGAGGGAACAGAAAGAGCAAAAAGCTGCTTTGATGGTGGGCATCCTCATTGGGGTGTTTGTTCTCTGCTGGATTCCCTTCTTCATCACTGAACTCATCAGTCCTCTCTGTTCATGTGACATCCCTGCCATCTGGAAAAGCATTTTCCTTTGGCTTGGCTACTCCAATTCCTTCTTCAACCCTCTGATCTATACAGCTTTCAACAAGAACTACAATAGTGCGTTTAAGAACTTCTTTTCCAGGCAACGCTGAGTAGAAGGATCTGAGAGAAATAAGAACTATTCCCATACATTTAATTTATTTAATCTATTTCCCTAATCCTATCCAGAAGCCGTGTGGGAAAAGGCGTACCCTAAGGGTTTTTGAGGTCTTGTTCAGAGCTAAAAGAGCCTGCGTTCCTTCCCAGGCACATGAGTCCTTACAGGCAGTGTTGGTGGGCTGATTTCTCTAGTTTGGCTTCTATACGTCTACCTGACCCAAATAGCCATGGACTTTACTCACAAGGTGTCCTTCCCTTCCCAAAACCTAGTCCAGCATGGTTACCATCATTATCCTGAGAAGTCAAATGAGGTAGATGAAGCGATAGGAAAAGATTGACAACTAACAGGTAAAATGAATAATGGAATATTGTTATAATGGAGACATCTGAGGGGTAGGAGCCCAATTTCACTCTTTATGGAAGAGTCTCAGTTTCCAATATTCTTCTCTATAGCCCTATTAAGTGTACCCTAAAATTTACTGGTTAGGTTCCAATACGTGACTACCAAATATTGTGTTTAAACCTACTAGACATGCAGCCCTATATGTGACGCCAGTGAATATTACCTTAGGGTTTTCTTGTGGCAATTACACACACACACACACACCCCCAAGTATTGAGGTTTGTTTGGTGAAATAACAGAATTATTTCTCTGTTAGGTGCAGGAAAGAAGTGTATTTTATTGAATATTACAATGTGAGTTGGAGTTGCATCATGTGAAAATGCAAAGTGTTTTACTGGGACATGAAGCACAAGTGAATTTTACACACAAACCTAGCATGACCACAAACTACTTCACTATCACAGTTGGTTACATCATTCCTGAGATGGGTGGTGTAAGTACTTTTCAATGTCATCTTCATCTCATGCTCCTAGAACATTCTTAGCAAGGAACTAAAAACATAGTTTTGTCTCCTCTGTTTGCCTAGGGGCACTTTGAGTGACTGTGTGACATTAAGATAAGTCTGAATACCTCTAATTTGATGTCCTTGCACACGTCTCCCTTTTGATCAAGCCTCTACTAAGGATATTTATCATCCAGAATGGAGTTGTTTATTTTTCTGCAAGTCTTATGTCTGCCTTCCTCAAGGGCCTTGGTTTATTTTGATAAAATTGTTTTTCTTCATCCTGTGAAGCTTAAACAGGCCTCATTTTCAGAGTGAGTTTATTTTGTGGTGTTTATTTCAGCCAGGGTCTTATTATGGTTACAAACATTAGACACATATTTTATAAAACATTGAGTCTTATGATAGTAATTATATTAATTTAAATGATCGATTCAGTCTGCAACATAGTGCACAACCAAGAACCAATGCCATCGAGTAGCTAACTAAAAACATTTTAAAGGGAGTATCAGGCATAGGATGTATTGAATGCAACCAAGTAGCTTTCTAGCTCATTTTTCTGCTATTTTGTTCTGATTCTCCTGTGTTGTTTATCCAAGCCCAGCAACAGGTGTTGGAAATAATACAAACTCTTCCTTGTTGGGCTAGAAGAGAATCAAGAGGTATTCAATTACCTAACACACAACCTTGGCAATCAAAAGATTTTTGCCGTGCTGACTTTCCATGTGCAATGTCATCGGCAATTTGAGCTATTGTGGTAGATAAATTGTGGATAGATTCTTCAAGGTGAGAAATCTGATAGTTGGGTGGAAGGGCTGGAGAAACACCTATTCCACCACAGTGTCTTTGGCTATTGAAATGTGTGAGTTGGGTAACTAAACTCTCTTAATCTGAATGAGAATTTTCAGATCACTAGTCTAATGCATATACATTCATTAAAGGCATGTCTATTCAAAGGAACTCCTAAAGACACCTAGTGTGCTTTGATGAGTCAATCTCCAACATCCAAGCAAAGTAGTGCCCAACACAAGGTAAACTTCTTGGATTTTGTTCTTTGTGGGGTAATTTGTCCCTCCCCTCCCCACCACCAAATTCATACCAATAAGAGACAAAAATCATACCATTCTTATGACTGTGTAGGCAGGTAACTATTTGATTGAATCATTTAATCAACTTTTCTATTGTGCAGGAAGATGCGTAGGGGCTATTGGAACAAGGAGAAGAGTTTGTAGATGATGTAGAATATATGAGGTGACCAAACAATGTGTAGGTCGAAGTAAAACATGGTGTCTGAGGGTTACCTAACAGTGCAGAAAGGTGCCATAGTCTTCTGACACATATAACTCGTTTGGATGATGGTGCTGAACTGAACAGCAGCACTGGGTACAAGACTTAGTTTAATAGAGGTGATGCTAGTAGACCTCAATTTTCATGCTCAAATACAAGACAACAGGTCTAACATTTAGCTACTGCTGGGATAACCTAACAAATGCATTTTCTCACCATGATCTTGAAGGAATTTATAGGGATAGAAGAATATAGTTTAAATGAAACTTTATTTTGAATAATAATGATGACAGGTGAATATGATGACAGGTATACAATAGGCTATTGACATAAACGCAGCTAATAACTTCAGTAGCACGTAAGGGATCTTATTTCATGGTCTCAGGACAAGCTGTCTACCTCAGATGCCATCTATTACTGACCAAAATAACATTTGAAGGTAATTTTTAAGTCTCCAGTGGGCCGACTTGTCCAAAGATGAGTTTGGGCCTTCTTGGGTTGTAAACACAGCAACATTCCTCTAGGAAGACATCAGCTCCTCTTTGGAACATCTGCAGGAAACCTAATGCTACCTTAATTTGTGAAAACATAGCTCAAATTTCAGAGGCTTCTTTAGTACTTCTTTAAACTGCTAAATTTATCAATACAAACTTCTAATTCAATAATTACAATATCTCAACCTATTTAGAATCTGATGATTTCCTTTAATGAAAGAACCAGCTGCTTCAGTAACTAATAGTTACTATATTCCATAGTAAGGAATTTTCTCATTTCCTAATTATTCTTTGTAATGTTCTTAAGGTTTGTTTTACATTTTCTTATGTTCCTTAATTTTCCTTCTTGGTTAATATGTATATATATGAATAATCCCATTCATCAGATAATTTAGGAGAGTGATAAAGTGGTTCTTAGATCCAGATGCTAAAACATTAGAACATTACCAATCTTCCCACCAATCAAACACATAGTAATCCTTGAGCTCTCTCAGGCCTATGAAATCAATTTCCCTTCTATGTGATTCTGGAGCAGCCTCAGCCTGTGAACCTGAATTCTGGAAATCTTGATTCAGTGTAGTTCTATCCAATTCAAAGATAGTATTTGCTATAGTCTATCTTTAGTTGAAATGTTTTGGTCAAGTACTTTCAGGAAGTTAAAGTAAAAAATTTCCTGAGAAGACAAAACTTGATATGGTCATGATATCTTTATAAAGATAATGATACTCCTTGAAAGTGAAAGACCCAAAGTGAATTAGCTATGCAAGTAATTTGAAGCCTAATAAAATCAATTAAAACAAACAAACACCTTGAGACAAAAATATCTCTTAACTCACTGACAAATTCATTTGAAAGAATATTGGCTTAAAAATATTAGCCTTAACACTGATAATTTTGAGACATAATATCATATAGACAGGGTAGATGAAGACTATACCAAGATTACCTTTTCTCTATATGAATAGTAAAACAAAAGAAAAAAAATCCATAGGTAAAGAATTTTAATTTCCCAATTAAAAACCATTGTTTTTGTGATGCTAGATTCAAAAGAAATAAAGTTCTAGCCAACTTAGCAATTAAAAAAATCATAAAATTATGACATAATGGTGGTATTCGGTTATTTTCTAATATCAGGCAAGAGTATAAGAAGAAGCACTAACATATATATTTTTTCAACCTGAAGAAAGTCAAGCACTTCTCTTGATTTTAAAGTGCATTTCATGTAACTCATGACACATTAATCATTAATTTTTTTCTTTTTAGCATTTTCCTTTTATAAAACAGGAAGAAATCTTGTGTGCATTTTCATAAAATTTCAAAATTATCATGAATTTATCATAGGTCACCATGAAATAATACTTAATTTACTTAACCAAATAATTTACAAGTAAAGGTTTATGCTTTATTCAAAGCCATGAGGTTTAGTTTCAACTCAGAAATTTAAATCCATGAAATACTGCACCCTTGACTACGAGGTAGAATACACAAGAAATAACTTAATCTTCAACCCAGTAATTAATGAACATATTGTCATTTTAACAGTGAGAAATAAATTTTTTTATAATATGCTATTTAACATTTAAGCTCTTAAAAATTTCATGCATCAAACAAGCAAAATGTGGCCACAACAGATAGTGTGAATACATCAAATACATTTCCTTTAAATTAACCTTTTAAATAGTGTCTTGGCTGCTGATCACTTAGAGTGTAACTATTTAAGTGGTAAAATAAATAAACTCATTAGCAAACCTATAAAAAGCAAAGTATATAAATTTAAATTATGATAAATATCATTAATTCAGTTTAATACCAGCCAGAAATCTACAGGTCTTAGAAATTATTTTAATTCTAGATACCACAAAACATTGAAACGTTACTATTCCGCATATTTAGTCAATTTAACCTTAGATTTTATCTTTATTTTTTTTTAAGATCATTTTATTGGGGGTTTTTACAGCTCTTATAACAATCCATACATCAATCGTATCAAGCTTATTTGTACATAGGTTGCCATCATTATTTTCTAAACATTTATTTTCTGTTTGAATTTTAAAAGGCTTGGTATCAGCTCCTCTTTTTCCCCTCTCTCCCCTGCAAGATTTTGTCTTTTTTTGTTGGTGTTTTGTTTCCAATCAAAATGTTTGTATTTCACTTCAAGTGTCTCTATAATTTCTGTCTTTTGACTTCTTGGAAATCCTCTACAATAGAGACAACTTGTTTCTAGGTTTTGTTGTTGTTGTTGTTGTTGTTGTTTTAAAGGGGATCCTCTTGTAAGCCATAGCCCAGAGCAGACCTGGCCCTGCCCTGCCCTCCCTATCTTTTGGCTCATGGTCACAGACACTAATTGGTCATCCTATTTCTTCACACAAGTTCATGTTGGTCTGGGTTTTGGAAAGGAACACTGGTGACATTTGGCTAAGTGTCGGACTGTTAACTGTAA